GTCTTGCGACTCTGGAGAATCCATCTCTTCCTGGATATACATCTTGTACCAACCCCAAAGGCCATCTTATTCGTTTTGTGTTATCATCTCCTATCAATACAACTTCTCCAATAATGGGTTCTCTACTTTTCTTGTTTTTTCCATTGTGAACGAGTGTAGCCAAATATTCTTTCTTAAACCTGTTTCTTAGTGATCTTTTTAATTTGTTTATATAACACACTCTTTTATTCAAACTTAGACACTCAATTTCATCCAAATCGGATAATTCAGCTGTTGATGTTGGTTGTAAGAATAAGGCTGGTGTTAATGGTTGTAAACAGTCATCATCATTCGAAAGATAAGTCAATGGTCTTAAATTTACAGTTGCTTCACAATCACACAAAATGGTTGAGAGTTCTTCCTGCGTGACTGAAGAATTTCCCAAGTTTTGTCGTAAAATTTCCTTTACCACTCCAATAAGTCGCTCCCGCCATAAAAATCTTAAAGCGTCTCGGTCACTTTTTGTTAAACTTTGCAAGAAAGCTTTCTTAATATCTGAAATAACGCCTATTGGGTGTTTTCTAAACTTCATTAGAGCTGTAATTAGTTCTATTAAATTAGGTCCCTTTTCCAAACAAGAGTTAAGAGAATTCCCTCTACTATCGACAGCAGAAGCATCAAAGACTGATCGAACCCTAGTAGTCAAACTGGATTCTTTGACCACAGCGTGATGAGGTAAGTAGTGTACAGGTCTATCAGTTACAGAGGACTCAACAACCCTTTCAATAATGTTTGAATTTAACCACTCTGAAAATACCTGATCATACTCATTGAACTTTTCTAACTTAATCAACTTCTTGGTCACTGCATGTAGTCGCTTCTCGGCTGTAACTTTGTTGTCCATAAGCTCCGGATGGCCTTCAATCCATGGAAGAGTCACCTCGTACCTATTTTCACTATTTACTACAATAGTTTTGTTAAAATGCTCCAAAACATCTGATGCATTCACCTCCTTTGTTTTACTACCTGATGGATCAGTGATGCCCAAAACATCTAAACGCCATAGATCTGAAATGTCCATTTTAGCAAAGCAACTAATGCTAATAAGTGACTGGTTACTTTTTCCACATTGACCCATTACTGTCCATCCTAACACAGTCTGAACAGCAACCAGAGATTGATCTAGCTGTTCAATTTTACCTGTGAGAAGTTGGCCCAAGATATCAGCTCCTAGTAGTAACTGTATTTCTTCTGCTGCATCTTGTCCAATATCTGAAAGGTATATATTCTTCTTCTTTAAAATAGGAAAATACCTTTTTGTATCTAATCTGGGTATGTAATTGCAAATCTTGTCTTGATCAAGCACATTAACTGAAATGCCAAATTTACCCTTTGTGTCACGTAACTCTACTTGGTAAAGATTATGTGGAGTCTCTTTAGTTTTAATACCTCCAAACAAACCATGAACTATTAATTCCTCACCAGATTCTATTAATTTAAGTTTCTCTACACAGTCCTTAGAGATATAAGACCTTTGAGATCCAGAATCCAACAATGCTCTTACTAGTAAAGATTGCTGGTCAGGTCCTATTACTTTTACTAGAAGAGTTTGTAATAAGGTTTCCTTATTCTGATTTGCAATCAAGGACTCAGATTTGTCATTAATTTGAACACTTTCAATGACATTTGATTTGTCATAATCATGAGTATTACTGTGCATCATTTTCTCTAAACTAGGACACATTAAGCAGTAGTGTTTCCTTTTACAGATAGCACAGGATACAAAAACTTTACATTTATTACTGCTGTGACCTAACTTTAAACATGAGAAACAAGCTCCCTTTTTTGTCACAAACTCTCTCTTTTCTTTTAAAGTAAGCTTTTGTAACCCAGAACAGTCTTGAGTGTTGTGATTTCCTTTATTACAAAATAAGCATGTAGGCTTACTCACCACTGCAGAGCTGTCTGTAGCAACTATTGTAGATGCTGTAGGTAAAGGTAGTCCTTTCTCAAACTCACTTTTCATACCAGGACGTTGGTGACGGTAAGATCTCTTCTGTGGCTCTTCACTTGGTGTAATGTCTCTGTCGACTGCAAAGCTGTTCCGAGCAAGAGCTAAACGTTCTTCGCTTTCGACCTCGGAACGTACAAAATTCAACAACAGCTGTAAATAATTTGAATTAGATGACACGTTACCTTTAAATTCACCTAAGCCTATTTTCTTTGTTGTTCTGTACCGCTCCCATGCTCTGAGAGTATCAGTTGGTAGAGCAGATTCAACCAGTGGGTATAGCATGGCAGCATACTTATCTGATGTGACCCCGAGTGTTTCTAGGGCACGAAGTTGAGTCTCAAGTTTATCAGAAAGGGTTGAAAGTGGCATGATACTTTGTTTGTTGGCTTGTTTCAAAACTAAATTTAGTAATTCTCTTACATAAACTTCAATCAAAAGTTCATCACGTGCAAACCTGGATTTCAATTGTTCAATAGCCTTGATGTAATTTTCACCAGAAGGAGGAAAAGAATCTATTAATTCCCTAGCTGATGAACCAGGTTTCAAGGATTGAATTAAATATTGAAATTTGTCTTCAGGTTTAATTTCACTATCTTCATGAATCTTTTTGTACTGACCCCAAAACCCAATCCAATTCCTAACATCCCCATCAAATGAAGGTAATTGCAATTTAGGCAAATGAAAGTTACGGTTTGGTCTGTAAATGTTTGACTCACCATTGTTGGTAGGTGTTTTAAGAAACATTTCATACTTAGCCTTCATCAGGTACCATTTCTTCTTGTATTCTTCTTGTGTGTCCAGTTCATTGTCCAGATCAGCATCAGAAGCATCTTTCATCAGCATTTCATCAGAGATTTTCCCATCCATAGCCATTAACGTGGTTATTTTGTCTTCAATTAGGGAAAAGTTCACTTTTATTTTAGTTTCTTTATCATTCATTGACAGGTCTTCATTATTAAATGCTTCTTCCAGTTCATTATAAACTTTGGTGAATAGCCTTCTAATCTGTGATCTTTTCTTTTTCATAATTTCTAGGCCTTCCATATTGTTATAAACTATTAAATAACCCAGATGTCTTCAATTAAAGAAAAGGTCCTGTCACGGTCGCCAAAATGTTTTGAATCTTGAAATAATTACCAGAAATGATAAAATAATTATTTCACAAACAGATTAGTAGGCTTCTTTATTTATTCCAAAGTCTTAACTCAAACTTTAAACAATTAAATTAATTCAATACAAAATATTTAACATGTGGTAAAACAAAACACAGTAGTTTAGAAAAAATATAACAGTCAGATCAAAAGGAAAATCAATGAAGTGAAAACATATTCAATAAAGTTCACAACACAGCTATTACATACAAAAACTAAGCCTAACAACTAGCAGAGTACAATGAAGACGGCTCTAATTGTCGCGCAAAACGTTCAAGTGTAACGCCTTCAAATTACCAATAGGCCAGAGCTCAGGGGACTTCTTTCCTCTCACGGACAGTATTGATTCTGATTCTGATACTTCGTCTTGACCGGTTGGACTCAGTGGGGTGGTGAATAAGCGGTAGATGAAACTATTGTATAATGCAGCAGTTTAATGGTTATGTGGATGACGTAATAACGAATGTATTGTTTGATTTGTAGTAGTTGGTTTAGTGTATATTTTGAATTGTAACTGGCTATTGTTTTTGGTTATGGTGACGTATAGGAAATTAATGGACTTTGTTTCTTCTATTCAAACTATCCGGAGGCCATTCCATCATAAAATAGAAAACTTGTGAGTTTAAACTGGCCTATTCATACAAAAAGGTCCAGCTAAAACTGTTTAAGATGTCTTGTTAGTGGGTGATGATCATGGGTTTTCCCAATTGTGAGAGAAGATGATGTTGCCCTGGATGTGGAATATGTTCACAATATCATCATGATCGTAGAAGTTGTTCTCAATTTTGCCGTGTCAATAGAAGATGATCTAGTTTTTGCTGTGACCACTGAAGATGTTAAAGCGATATCTCCATGACCGCAGGAGACGTTTACTATTTCACCAAGACCATAGAAGACAACAAGGAGGAACTTCAACAAAAAATATGAATCAAACCCTTGTGTAATAGGAGGGTCAGATATTGTAAAAAGGAAGCGTTTGACAATGTTGTGTGAGTAGGCTGGCAGTGTTGTTAAACAATAACTTGTTGTGCTGACCTACAGAAGGCTGTTGCTTTAAGTAGGCCAGTGCACTTGATCAAGGGGTCTGTTTTGTGTGGAGTGGTGAGTGTGGTGCACCGGAGGACAGGGTTCTGCTGGGGGACCATAAGAGCCCTCACCAACCTTATCCCACCACAGACTTGCAGACTAGCATTCGCAAACCTAGGAATCCTCACAGTGGTGTCTCTCTACATACTTAAAACCATAAAGTATGTGAATGAAATAAACCCCCCAAGAAACCAAGACCTGCACCACTACAACACCCGTCATGGCTCCAATTTTGCCCTACCAGTTCACCGAACAACTCTTTGGGAGAAAAAACCTTCCTACACCAGCTGCAAACTGAGGAACCATCTACCTGACTACCTGAGAGACTTGACTGGCAACAAGTTACACCAGGAGTTGAAGAAGTGGCTAATCGCAAGACCCTTCTACTCAATAAAGGAATTACACTATTGTAATTCTTAACAAATTAACAATAAAGAATATTGTATTGTATTGTAAGACGTTTACGATTGTAATGTCACCGTGGAAGATAATCACAATTTTGTTAAGTTCGCGGAAGATCTTTTTCTTTATTTCTCCATGACCAAAGATGTTCCAGATTTTACTGCTAAATAGGGCAGATCATATACAGAACTGTATAAACCATCAAACCGATTTTAGTTTTATAGTTAATATATAAAAAAAAAGACAACGGTCTTCAAAGCAACCTAATTTAATCCCGAGATCAAAGAACCAAAATAATTGTTGACCCAACACAAAGTAAAAAAAATCTAGCCAGAATACACTAAAAATATTAAGAATAAGTTACTAACTTGTAACTAACTGTGTGGTGTATAGATAACCACATCTTCATCATCCGAATCGCTGCTCATGAGTTGTTTGGGGGTTGACAACACCTGAAGACTCAACTTGTTAGCTGTTGTAGTAACTGGTGGCATCTCCTCCAGTGACATTGTGAGACCCCACCCTACAACAATCAACCACAACACGTGAAGACTAAACTTGTCAACTGTTGTTGTGACTGGTGGCACCTCCACAAGTGACATTGTGAGACCCCACCCTACAACAATCAACCACAACACGTGAAGACTAAACTTGTCAACTGTTGTTGTGCCTGGTGGCATCTCCACAAGTGACATTGTGAGCACATCCCTGCAACAACCACAACACGTGAAGACTAAACTTGTCAACTGTTGTTGTGACTGGTGGCACCTCCACAAGTGACATTGTGAGCACATCCCTGCAACAACCACAACACGTGAAGATTAAACTTTTCAACTGTTGTTGTGACTGGTGGCATCTCCACAAGTGACATTGTGAGCACATCCCTGCAACAACCACCACAAGTGAAGACTAAACTTGTCAACTGTTGTTGTGACTGGTGGCACCTCCACAAGTGACATTGTGAGCACATCCCTGCAACAACCACAACACGTGAAGATTAAACTTTTCAACTGTTGTTGTGACTGGTGGCATCTCCACAAGTGACATTGTGAGCACATCCCTGCAACAACCACAACACGTGAAGATTAAACTTTTTAACTGTTGTTGTGACTGGTGGCACCTCCACAAGTGACATTGTGAGCACTGCCCTGCAACAACCACAACACGTGAAGACTAAACTTGTCAACTGTTGTTGTGACTGGTGGCATCTCCACAAGTGACATTGTGAGACCCCACCCTACAACAATCAACCACAACACGTGAAGACTAAACTTGTCAACTGTTGTGACTGGTGGCATCTCCTCCAGTGACATTGTGAGACCCCACCCTACAACAATCAACCACAACACGTGAAGACTAAACTTGTCAACTGTTGTTGTGACTGGTGGCACCTCCACAAGTGACATTGTGAGCACATCCCTGCAACAACCACAACACGTGAAGATTAAACTTTTCAACTGTTGTTGTGACTGGTGGCATCTCCACAAGTGACATTGTGAGCACATCCCTGCAACAACCACAACACGTAAAGACTAAACTTGTCAACTGTTGTTGTGACTGGTGGCACCTCCACAAGTGACATTGTTAGCACATCCCTGCAACAACCACAACACGTGAAGATTAAACTTTTCAACTGTTGTTGTGACTGGTGGCACCTCCACAAGTGACATTGTGAGCACATCCCTGCAACAACCACAACACGTGAAGATTAAACTTTTCAACTGTTGTTGTGGCTGGTGGCATCTCCACAAGTGACATTGTGAGCACATCCCTGCAACAACCACAACACGTGAAGACTAAACTTGTCAACTGTTGTTGTGACTGGTGGCACCTCCACAAGTGACATTGTGAGCACTGCCCTGCAACAACCACAACACCTGCAAGACTAAAGTAGTCAACTGTTCTTGTGTCTGGATGCCCCTCCACAAGTGACATTGTGACCCCACCCTACAACAATCAACCACAACACATGAAGACTAAACTTGTCAACTGTTCTTGTGTTTGGAGGCACCTCCTCCAGTGACATTGTGAGCACATCCCTGCAACAAGTACAACATGTTCAACTACAACATCATCCATATGTTAAAGACCTCTTCCAAACTTTCTCCACCCATTGCACACATTTTCTATGTCCTAACACTTTACTCCAATCACTTCCATCACCTGGCAAAACACTTCAATAGCGGTTCATGACTGAAACCACAGAAATATAATCACTGAATCCGATTCATACTTGGCAGGAGCGTAAATTCTCTTCACATTGTTTTAGAATACTATGACGAGGCTAATTGTCCTATAAGAGTGGGAATCTGATAGAATAGTAACAGATGAAAAAATTAACACACCGTTGGTTTGAGATTTGAACTAGCTAGCTTGGCTGCAACGGAAACACAATCGAGACCTTGATTTACGGACAACCCTCGTACAATATTGAGAGTTATATATTTCTAAGAGTTTTGGTATGTCACCAATATTAAAGGTGTAACAGTGATGCAGGTGAATGGTTAGGAAATAGCTAGTTTCTCAGATCAACCCACACCAAATAAACGGTATCAGCATTCTGACACATACTTTCTCCCATAAGTTTGTCAACAACCTTTATCATGTGTAAGCAGTGAGAGTAAATATACGGAAATGGGATTTGTACAATTTTGTTCAGAATTTAAAAGACTATAACATACTAAATTTTTATCAAAATCGTTCAGGCCATTTTTGGGAAAATCCTATTTTAGCGAATTTCCCTATAGGGAAGTAGCTATTACCGTAGGTGGCACGGTAAGACCTAGACCCGGGACCGATTTACTTTTTCATTTTGATGTCCCCAGAGGCCAAAAACACCATTCGTTCAAATTTTTATATATGTATATATATATATTTATAGACATATATATATATATATATACGTCCGTAAACGCGATAACTTGAGTAATTTTTGTCCGATTTTGATGAAATTTGGTTTAAAGGTGTAAAGCGCGATAAACTTGAATGAGTTCGCGAACCAGCACGATCGGACCATGGGAAAGGGGCTTTACGGGGGGTTTTATGGGGTAAAAATTGGTTTTTCTCACTTTTGAGCCTCAAAACACAAAATTTCCCGATTTCTCTTTAGACCTTTTTAAAGAGCTTAAAAAAACAAATAATCTAGTATATAAAAGTATTTTTGTTCGATTATTAGTAACGGAGAAAATTTAAAAAATTGTAAATTTCAAATTTCCATGTTATTCTTATGGAGAATATTGTCAAATGTAGTAGTTTGCTTGTTTATGGATATATTTTGATCAAACTTGGCAAATTTATTTATTTTGTACTAAGCTATCAATATTTTACTCAAAAACACACTTTATTAGTTTCCTTGTAGCAGCAAACCTAGGTACTCGTTAAACCTAATGTTATTAAAATATATTTAACTGAAAATCAATTCGGACGAATGGAAATTCGCTTAGTCGGCAGGTTTGCTGCGGCGGGGGTATTTCGTTATTTTGTGGGGTTTTTATGGGAAAATAACATAATTTACCATAACTTTTGAACCGTAATTTTTACAGAAATGGGATTTGTACTATTTTGTTCAGAATTTAAAGAGCTACAACATACTAAATTTTTTATCAAAATCGTTCGGGCCATTTTTGAGAAAATCCTATTTTTTCCGGTTATTTATGAGTTTTTATGGGAAAATCCCCATTAAAAATCAAAATTTCAAAAAAATTAAAAAAACACCTGGAGATACCATGGATTAGAACCTACATACCAAATTTCATCGAAATCGGACCACAGGTGTAGTCCCTGGCTCTGTACACATCCAGACACACAGACACACAGGCACACAATAATTAGATCACAGACAAGCTGATTAGAGAATTGTATGGGCCGGGAATCCCCGCTATGCCGGATATCGGTCTAGCTCAGGGCTCGTGCAGCTCAAGGTTACGTTTATCTGAAATTACTGAGGTAGAGTTAGAAAGTTTAATCTTACTTAAGCAAACCAAATAAAATCGCTTTGATGGTTTGTTGGCTTTGATGGTATTTCCATAAATACTATAAAAGAAAATGTTAAGATTAGGGATGGTCAAGTCTCGAAATTTCGGGAAATTTTCGGGAAATTTTAAATCTCGTTACACGAGACGAGATTTCTTTTTGGCCGAGATTTTTATCGAGACGAGAATAAAAAATATAAAAATTAATATTGCTTTTATTTTATGTTAGGATAAGTTGAACTCTATCCTAACTGATATCACTATGTTTCCTAATCGTAGGCATTTTTAATAAGTTAGGCGCGATTAATAAAAAATTTTATGCTGATGTTTTTTAATAAAAGATTGTAAATATTCTTGCCTATTATCATTATTTTTGTATTTAAACAGTCATCGAACAATGTTACAAAATCAGGTAAAAATTTTGAACGTGCATTTCCCGTTGTGTATGAGAAGGGAAATCCCGTCTCGATCTCGTCTCGAAATTTTATGAGAAATAAAAAATCTCGTCTCGAACTAAAGATCCAATCTCGTCCATCCCTAGTTAAGATTTTTGTCCCAATATTACGTCATATTTTTAATTTATCTATAAAGCTGGGTTACTTTCCTTTAAGTCTAAAAACAGCACTCATTGTTCCAGTATATAAGGCAGCTGATCCATTGCAAATGAATAACTACCGACCTATTTCACTTTTAAATACCTTTGCTAAGCTGTTAGAAACTTGTGTGAAAGGTCAATTAGTTAAATATTTGTCAGATAACAATTCATTTTCAAATAATCAATTTGGGTTCATGAAAGGTAAAAATACTGACCTAGCAGTTGAAAGACACATAAGCGAGATAGTTAATCAATAATCATGTTGATGAGCGTAAACCAACAATAGGAGTTTATCTTGACTTTACTAAGGCATTTGACTTAGTTAATCAAGACATATTATTACATAAACTAAAGTTATATGGAATTCAGGGCAATAGTTATAAGTGGTTTGAGACTTTTTTAAATGAAAGAAAACAAATGGTTAAAATAAAAAACGTTTACTCAGATGTATGTTCTCAAAGGCTTGGTGTCCCTCAAGGGGGAGGTGCTTGGCCCAATTTTATTCGCAATTTATATTAATGACATGTTATCAATGGATTTAAAATCGAAGATATATGCTTTTGCTGATGATAAATCTTTAGTATGCAGTGACAACAATTATGATTTACTGAGGATGAACATTAATAATGATTTGAATGTAATATCAAATTGGGTAATAAGAAACAAATTAATCGTCAATACTTCTAAATCTAATGCTATGATATTTACTTACAAACCTCATTTGATAGAGCCGTTGAAAGAAGAGATCGATCTACGTTGTCATTTAGTTACTTGTTTTCATGAATGTTGTTGTACAAAAATTAATTTTGTTGATTCGGACAAGTATCTTGGCCTTCTTATAGATTCAGATTTAAAATGGCACACACATGTTAATCAACTATGTAAAAAACTTAACTATAATTTCTTTCATTTAAGACAGTTTATAACTCCTAAACTTCTAAGAACGCTATATTTATCCTGGTTTGAATCTACTCTTAAGTATGGTTTAATTCATTGGGGAGGGACGTTTTCAACAATTCTTAAACCAATTGTAATAATGCAAAAACTTACATTAAAAACTATTTGTGGTGTAAAGAAATTTGACTCAGCTACACCACTGTTTCAGTACTTAGACGTAATGCAGCTAGAGAAGATATATTTATATTCAATTTTATGTTATTATAAAAAGTTTACTAGTTTATTTCAAACAGTTGTTATTAATAGGAATACGAGAAACTATACTGAGGGTATGCTTATGATACCACCCGTTATGAAAGACACAAGCAGGTTACAGTGTTACCATAAAGTAGTAAAATGTTTTAACTTTAATTTTAGAGTAGGCTACTCAAAAATATGCAGGATTTGAAAATTGAATTATATAAAAGTAAATTAAAGGAATTGATAAAAAACTACTCAATCAAACAAACAAAGTGAAATAATTAATTATTGAATGATGTAGCCTATACTGTTAAACGATTTGTAAATATAAAATAGTATGTAAGAGTGAATAGCCAGTGAAGGGGTGAACCATAAGTGTTACAGGGAAAATCGAAATAGATTTTAGGTATCAGTGACAGTGACTTGTTAAAATAAAATGAACCTACTCAAGACAGTGTTTATAGAATATAAGATATAGTTTTAAGTTTTTCAACCGCGCGTGTTTTACAACACATGGTTGACTATTATTTGTATAAAAATTTTTTTTATGTGAATACAGATTTTTGAACTGAACTGAACACACACACACACACACACACAGACACACAGACATCACTTCGAAAACCACTTTTTTGGGTCCAGGGGGACCCAAAACGAATATATCCACTCAAAACTCAAACTCGAAAATTTTGACGAAAACAATACTTTCTCCATATACTATGGTATAGGGGGAGAAAGTAAAAAATTGAGTGAGCCAGTAGATGGCGTACACACTGGCTTGTTTTTGTTGTAACACTTAACTCAGTACCTTGTGAGGGCAGGGACTTGGCGGTGACTGGTCGAGCCCACGGACAACTCTGGGCAACTTTGAGTGGGGGAAGCTCCTTGTGACCTCTCCCAGGCTCTGAACTAGCAGATGTCGGTGCTGTTCGATTGGTCCTGCGTAGGAGAAGCTTCTTATTTCTTCTCTTTTGTTCATTCATTTTCCATTCAAATTGATCTAAAAATGGAAAAAGAATTAGTTGTACACCGAACAGGATATAATATGAAGCAAGCATCTCTCTTGCCGACTCTCGACTGTTCGGTGTTTCAATAGTAGGCCTACATGTATTTAATGTTCGTTTTGTGTATGTGTTCTATTTAAACTTTGACGCGACCATGTGTGTCGATAAATCAAGATTTTAAGCTTCAAGTTCTGGATCTGATGATGGCAATATATTTGCCGAAACGTACGTAATCCTACTGGATTAACAAAACCCACAAGGCAGTCTGCAGGTACTGTAACCTTTTATTGATTAGCTAACGTGGTTTAGAAAAACAACTACATTATGAATACTCTAACCATTTAAGAATTTAATTAAATTTTAATCATTTACTTATTTTATCTTATCATTTAAGAAAATTTAAATCACACTGCATTGTTTATGTTTAACGAATCATAGAATATCTCCAGTGGAATCTGGAAAGGTCTGATATAATTCGTTTAGCATTTTTATTGAGCGGATTGAGCAGGGTTTCCTTTTATTTTTCTTTTAGGTATTGATTTATTTTGATAACTTATGATGAGATGCGGTGCGTTGTCTTCATTGTCTTCAAAGTACAAAAAAACTTATCCTTACTTTTCAATTTCATGACGTTTGAAGTTGAAGTTGTGATGTAGATGAAATGAAGTCAAAGTGATGAATGCGGAGCTAGCAGATCGATGATGATGTTGAACACTTGGAACGAGAGGAGAGTGTACTGTAGCGTGCCGCAGAGGAAAAGTTGAAAATGGCCATGCGGTGGTATTTGGCGACTTCATGTTGGATAAAATATGTTCAACCGAGAAATTGGTAATAAACTTGAGAAAAAGTTGCACTAATGTTCATCGTAAATATAATCCGGCTCGATAGGACCAAAAATGTACGGTGTAATTATACTAAAGAAAAAGATAATTTATACAAAGAAGTTTAATTTATTAAGAGAAAAAATGAGCAAGTGTTGTTATGATGAAAAGCTTTTATTCTTTATATAAAGCAGCTTATAGACGGGGACAGTAGAGACGGCAAGTAGCTGGCTGCAAGTACTTGCCAATTGCACTTACTGCATACTTTCCTTGTTTATAGAGGTACTTTCCTTTCCAGCGGCAAGTATTTGCTGGCGGCAAGAAAACTCAAACACGTTTGATTTTACTGGCCTGGCCGCGGCAAGTAGTGGGTCACGTAACCACTGGTGGCCAGAACTTTCCTGTCAAAACGTGTACTTGCCGCCAGTAGAGCAGAGTGGCAAGTGAAATCAGGGATGATCGTATTTATAGAAATAACAATGTGATTGGTTAAAATGTCAGACAAGGGCCCTTCTGAGAAGAAAAAAGTCATTAAATGGAGCTGTGATGACATCACTAAGTTTTTAGAGATTTTTCAAAATGACAAAGTTTTGTGGAACATACTTCTTAATTTTGAAAAAATAACTATGCTGAAAAAAAATTTTCATCACAATCAGACATGCTCAACACAATTAAATTCAACTATCAACACTATTCACTCGCATCCTCAAAGTAGACTGGCTGTAAGTTCTTTCTCTGACACTTGCCGCCAGTACTTACCCAGTGTATAGGAAAACATACGGCAAGTGACGTAATGGACGGTACTTGCAGTCAGCAACTTGCCGTCTCTACTGTCCCCGTCTATACGTTGCTTTAATGACGTCGGTGCCTATGTTTGTCCTAACTCCTTAACGCTGTATGCAGATGATACCACCATGCTTTTTAAGGGCTCGTCTGAAGTTGTTCAAGAGAACATGTCTTCAACAATTACAAATTTTGATAACTGGCTTTTTAATAATAATCTTCTTTTAAATCAGAATACAACTAATTATGTCCAATTTCTAACAAGAAACAAAAGTCCACTGCATCTTTAACTAAAACAATCATCAATAAAGAACTTTCTGAAGTCAAGTTTTTGGGCGTTGTTATGGATTCTCAGCTGACGTGGCAATCACATGTTTCAGATCTTTGTGGTCCGTTTAAGCAAGGTGAGTTTTGCCTTGAGAACATTGGTTTCTTTGCTTGATCAGAGGGACCTGATCAATGTTTACCATGGATGCTTTCAGTCTGTTATATCATATGGAATAGAGGTTTGGGGAGGTTCCACACATGCTGACAACGCAATTACGGAACAGAAAAGAGCCGTTTGTATTTTATCTGGTCTCCCATCCTCGCACTCTTGTAGGGGAGTTTTTCAAAATCTTAACATACTCACACTTTATTCTCTATATGTTTTTAAAGTGGTTCTCTTCATCAAGAATGAAATTGGGTCTCTTCCTGCTGTTGGAGATAGACAAAGGTATCCCACCAGACATGGCTCAGATCTTCTTTTTCCACAAATCCGCCTGTCCCTGTCTGAAAGAGAAACTTTTACAGCGGGTATAAAGATGTTACACCGTCTTCCAACCAGCATAAAGGAATATTATGGCGAAAGAAAGTTTTTAAAATGTTTGAAATCCTACCTTGTACAAAAAGAACCGTACAGTTATAATATTCTATGTTGCCTTGCAAACATTATCTGCATTACATATCTTAAAACTGAAATAGTTAATTTTAGCTCCAAGAATTTGGGATTTTAATTCTTTTTTTTTAAGGCCAATTTGAAATTTTTGTCCCTGTTAAGCCAATTTAAATTACTTAGTCTATCAATTTCCTGTTTACTCGAACATTGGTTCATCATTGGTTCATGTTTACCGTTGGTTCATCCAGCCTGTTAATTAGTTCCATTGTGGACGTCACCAATGCCTCGGCGTTAACAGGTGCAACAGGGTTCATCATTGCTCCCTACGAAATTACCTCGGTAAACTTCTTAACATCTAGCTTCTCAGTATTCCATCAGCATGGTCCAAATTGTGATAAGGACGGTTGATAATGGTGCTCATCAAGTATATCGAAAACGATGTGCTGATGATCGCTTGCCAATAACTCTCCAGGAGATCCGTGCTAGGAGAGGTTCCAACGCAAAGGAGATATCGGGGATCATACCTGGGCGCCGGAAAGTAGGCGTGTCGGCCCCTGTTTAGGACGACAAGTCCAGCCCTGGCCGCAAAGTCCAGGATGTATTTCCCCCAGGAGTTTGTAGATGGGGTTCACCACTCAACAGCCCTTCAGGGTGTCTACTATATTCTGGATAAAAAATTCATGGACAATTCCCGTACATTTAAGGACACTTTGCCATAACCTTTGTCGGTGTCATTAGGCCTACCAAATAATTTTCCTGATTTGTCAAACTGTATTTTTAATCTTGTTATTCACTGTAGTTGTACCAGAGAGAAAAGTAAATAATAATAGATAAAGTTAAAAATTTCAAAATAGAAATTTATTGAAAGTAAACAAACATAGGCCTACCTATACTTTAGTAAAGCTTTTATAGTGTAACAGAGAAACACAGTCATTGTCTCCTGTGATAGCGACAAATATCTCCATCGGTCATGTAAACTTCATAACATTGCTTATCCGATCCAGGCGGATTAATTTGGCATGATTCACCCTGGCACAACGTTAGGTTCTCGACTACTTTTGAAAAAAAAATCTTTAATGCATATTGTTACTCAGTTCTTAGTACAAAATCAAGGTATGGTAAGCGGCTACCAATAAGCAATAAGCACAGAGTAAGATTATTGTATTTTCATTTGCAAAGTTAATATCGACACATAGCAATCATTAGTTGTTTATCTTAGGCTCAATTACATTTTCTTAATATATTTTACAGCTCTTTCAAGAATCAAAATACCCAGGCCTAGACCTAATTTATTTAGGAGGGCCTATATAAACTGAGTAACAAACAATGAGGTTAATATAGCAGCAAAGTCACTATCATCATTCTAGTTCATAAGATTTAGAATGCTTAAATCATACAACTCAATAAATAAATATATGGGAAACAAAAAACATTGAAACCTGAATAGCCAACAATATAAGACAAAGATACAGAAAATGCAATGACATAATTTGAAACCAAGCAGGCCTACATTAATGCAAACAACAATGCTTGTGGTTTTGTCAATTGAAAGATAAATTATCCATAAAAAAGGGGTTAACTTACAAAATAAGACTATAGATTATTTACATGTTTAATATGAAACCATAAACAGTTTTATGGCACTAGGCAATGGCCGCGGCAAATTGAATCTTCAAGCCAAAGTACAAGTAAGAAGGGAAATTTAATAGCTATTATAAAGCTATTATTTTCACGATAAAATTTAGGTTTGGGATCTAATAATAATTACCCTAGTAATAAAAAAAGAAGATGTAAAGGAATAAAAGTGATACAACTTTTATGAGCTAGCTGCTGAGTCAACAGTTCTTGGAAGTACTTGACTTGGCACTTGATATAATATTTATGGGTTTGAGATTGCTAATGGGATTTTTATTGCATAATTACTCTAGTAATAAATTATAAAAATGTAAACAAACATCTGATAAACCTTTTATGTGCTCCTAACCAACTAGTGATCAATAAAATTATGGCCCATTAAAAATTTAAGGACATAGTCTGGCATTTAAGGACAATTCCCGTACATTTCATGGCCAGTAAAAAATTAAGTACAATTCCCGGTTTTCCCGGATTTCCCGGTTGGTAGACACCCTGCCCTTGCATTAAAATCCTCAGCGACGACTACATGCCCAGCAGTGACATGCACAATTTTCTCTAGGCAGCCAACCTTCAGACTGAATTCCCGAATGGACTTGTTAGGAGTAAGGTAGACACTGAAAAACGTGACGTCCCTGCATCTGACCCATACGAACCCACGGCCACGTCCGTCATCCCACACCAGTTCCTCTACATATGTTGTTTCGCACCCAACAAGCAGCAGTACCGAGAGAGTACAGGAACCGTGGATTTCTGTCACAGCACTGATCGCTGAATAGAAGGATATCGGCGCCGATTTCCTGGACTATCTGATCAAACAGGGAGTCAGCCGCCCTGGATCTCTCAAGATTACCCTGGAGAATCCTCACCTTTTTTTCAAGACTTGGCCTTTTCAAGGTCGAGTGCAGTCTTTAAAACACTGCATCGCCCAGTCCCAGGAATATGACCTCATGAGTTGTTATTTTGAGTGACCTTTTTCTGCACAGAGGTAACAGCGCTCTACTGCTGCACAGTTTTTCCTATTGCCCAAACCACCATAACGGAAGCAATTCTCTCCTCGATCGAGTCCCTTACAGTTTCGGGAGGAGTGACCGAACCCGAGGCAGCGAAAGCATTGCAAGACTACCACTCTCCGTCTGAGCCTGCAATTGACCCATCAGATTTTCAGGTGTGCAAGATTCAGCGGCTTACTGGCATCTTGGTCCCATATTTCAGCGATTGCCATTCGTTGCTCTCTCCAGTTTGGCCGTGTGAGCCATACCTTAAAGAAGTTGGTATTCTGGATATCAGTCATGGCCTTAAATAATACAATCACTTGGACCAAGCAATGAAAAAAATCTCCAGACTGGGATCTACATTAAAAGAGGCAGGGGATAGAAGAGAAAGGAAGGCAAAAATCCTCATTAGGTTTCAGTGGCCACTGAGTAAGATAAGGTACAGTACCGGTAAGTGATAGTAAGCTATGGAAGGTGGATTGTGGCTACTGTACTTTAAACCAGTGTGTGTGAATCGACCGCAATTCACACTTCAAGGCTTTTCAAATCGATACAATATTCCTGTTTCATTGTAAAACTATGGGATTTAAAATGCATATTGTATAGGCCTATTATAATCGGATGAAAGAAATAGGTGATCACATGAAATTTGTTTACAAGATGATTTTCCCTATTAAAGCTTCCAGAATACTTTAATACTTTACTTTGAACTGGCGAACACACAAAAATAGGTATTTTAAGCCAAGTATGAATGGAGATGAGTGTAGTATGAGTAGCGCCATAGAATGTGTCTATATGCGTGTAAACTAGCTGTTCTGAATTATATTCAGTTTTAATTGCCTACTTGATTACCATACGTAGTCTGACGGGCCAACAGCTCATTCCATTTAACATTTTGACCAAATATACCATTGTTGACTTTGGATGCTGCAAGTAGATTTCTCATTTATGTGAAGCAGATTGATGTACCATTGACTTTGGAGACATCTCATTTACATGAACTAAATTTAGCATTGACTTATGATTCTGCAAGTTTACATCCCATTTTTGTTAACCAGATGCAGATGTAGAATTGACTTTGGAAAAGTATTCGATTAATATGCTAGCTCCGCTCAATATTGCAAGTAGACAACAGCATTGAACACCTAGTTTATTTTTATTTTAGTTTTGCTGGGTAGCTGAGTGGTTATAGTGCTCGCCTAGTAATCAAAAGGTCGCTGGTTCCTGATCATTGGGCTTTGAATAAATGATCCTGACTAATGAAACCGCTGATCTTAGTCAGTAACAAAGCTACACAGGTCATCACACACCATTCTACACTCATCATTCACTCATATTTGGGTTAAAATACGCACCTAGGTGGCGTCCCCATCTCAATAATTGATTGATTGATTGATTTGAAATCAAGTGACTTTGTTTATAATCTTTTCACAGGAGACTTTAAAATATTTGAATGTTTGTTAGGTAATAAAAGATTAAATACCTTAGTAACTACACGTACCTTTAACAGCCATGACAATGTCTATTGGCTGAGGTTCGCTGATGACCAGTATGTTAGGCTCGGCGGGTGGTGGAGGTGAGGGGACAGGAGAGTGTAGAGGAATGTACTCTCCTTCCACTGTGTGACTACTACTGTCTGGGCTGTCACTGGGAGTTAGAGGCTTCAAAGCTGTGACATGGCCATTGGTCGCCACATGGCCATTCACCGATGTATACCCATTGTGTTCCACCTGTCAATTTAGATTGGCAGAGGATTACTACAACTGACTTAAAGTTCAGTGTCAAAATATAAAAAAAAAAACTAGCAGAGTCCCCGTCCTTCGTACGGGGTTGGCCTATAAGTATAAGATGCTTATTGCAGTTATACTCGTGCTTTGTGTTTGCAATGGGGGAAGACACGGTTTGAGAAAATTTGAATCATAAATTTACGGTATCTATAGTACAACAGATCTACCATAGCCATAATGTTCTACCACTGCATCTAAACAATAAAAAATACCCCCGCTGCAGCAAACCTGCCGACTAAGCGAATTTCCATTTGCCTGCAGTGATTTTCAATTAATTTAATCTATTAGATTAACATTTATGTTTAACGAGTACCTAGGTTAGCTGCTACAGGGAAACTAATAAATTGTGTTTTTTATTAAAATATCAACAGCTTAGTATGAAAGAAATAAATCTGCAAATTTTGATCAAAATATTAATAAACAAGCCAACTACATGTACAATATTTTACAATATTCTCCATATTAAGAATAACGTAAGAATTTTAAATTAACAATTTTTTGAATTTTCTCCATAGCCAATCAAAATGTTTCAATTTCGTGTTCTCTCCCCGTTGCAAAGCACGGGTACAACAGCTAGTGCTTTATATGTTTATATGCTGACGATACGACAGCCATCATTAAATAAAATACCCCCGCCACAGCAAACCTGCCGACTAAGCGAATTTCCATTTGTCTGAATTGATTTTCAATTAAATATATTTTAATAACATTAGGTTTAACGAGTACATAGGTTTGCTGCTACAAGGAAACTAATAAAGTGTGTTTTATAGTAAAATATTGATAGCTTAGTACAAAATAAATAAATTTGCCAAGTTTGATCAAAATATATCCATAAACAAGCAAACTACAACATTTGACAATATTCTCCATAAGAATAACATGGGAATTTTAAATTTACAATTTTTTAAATTTTCTCCGTTACTAATAACCAAACAAAAATACTTTTATATACTAAATTATTTGTTTTTTAAGCTCTTTAAAAAGGTCTAAAGAGAAATTGGGAAATTTTGTGTTTTGAGGGTCAAAAGTGAGAAAAACCAATTTTTACCCCATAAACCCCATAAGACCCCGTAAAGCCCCGTTCCCATGGTCCGATCATGCTGGTTCGCGAACTCATTCAAGTTTATCCTGCTTTACACCTTTAAACCAAATTTCATAAAAATCGGACAAAAATTACTCAAGTTATCGCGTTCACGGACGTAAATTTGATCGAATGGTGTTTTTGGCCTCTGGGGACATCAAAATGAAAAAGTAAATCGGTCCTGGGGTCTAGGTCTTACCGTGTCACCTATGGTAATAGCTACTTCCCTATAGGGAAATTCGCTAAAAAACAGTCATGAACTAAGTTTAGCCTTGAATCAAGCTCTTCAAGATCTGTCAAAATGGTTTAAAGTTAACGGTTTGAAAATGAACCACATTAAAACGCAAATAGTAAAATTTTAAACTGCACAGTGTAGGGGCGACATTGAAGGCTTTGTTTATTTTGACAATGAAAAAATAAATCTTAGCAACACAGGTAATTGTTTAGGATTGATGTAGATAGTTTATTGAATTGCAAGAACCACATTCATAACACCTCTAAAAAGTTAAATTCAGTATGTTTTCAAATGATGGTCTTAAGAAATGTTGTTGATTTAAACACTAGACTAATGATTTATCACGCTTTATTTTCATCAATTTTACAGTATGGAATAGAGCTTTTGGGCGTCACCTCTGATTCTTATCAACCTTTTTAACTTCAAAAAAGAATACTTAGAATTATGACTTTTAAACCCGTAACACATTCTTGCAAACAACTTTTAGCGAATTTCCCATATAGGGAATAAGCTATTACGGTAGTACTCATAGTAAGACCTGGATGCGGGACCAATTTTTTTCTTTCGTTTTGAGGTCCCTAGAGGCCAAAAACACCATCCGTTCAAATTCATATATATATATGTGTCCGTTAGCACGATAACTCGAACAAAAATTATCCGATTTTGATGAAATTTGGTATAAACGTGTAAACCTACATTTATTCAAACGAGTTCGCGAACCAGCATGATCGGACTATGGGAACTGGGGTTTTATAGGGTAAAAATAGGTTTTTCCCGTTTTTGTCCCAAAAAACATCAAGTTTAGCAATTTCTTTCCAAACCATTTTGTAGAGCTTAAAAAAACAAATAATTTAGTATATTGAAGCGTTATTATGCGCCTAATGGTTACAGAGAAAATTCAAAAAAATTGTAAATTTAAAATTCCCATGTTATTCTTATGGAGAATAAGTAAACTGTTGTAGTTTGCTTGTTTATGAATGTGCAGTGTATTTATATTAGAGAGGAAAAAGTCTAGGGTTTTGGTATAAAAAAGTATAATTTATTACAAGAAAAATGAATGTGTGATGTTATGAGCGGTAATTCGAGACGAATGAATGCAACAATGAAAATTGACATATGGTAATGTGATGGGAATTACAGATGGACTGTTAAAAACAAAGACATATAAAATTAATACAAAAAACAAAGGCAACTTGACTGAACATACCGCCCCCTTTGAACCAACAAGGTTCAACAAAAGAAAAATTGAAAAAATATAAAAATGTTTTTGAATTGACCAGAGTGGGTTGTAATTATTTAAAGAATGCAGCTTAATGGTATGAAGACACTTTGAATGATGGTCTTGAATGAGGATCAGCTGGTCTGTAGCTATGAGGAGCTGGTGTGTTTTAGCAAACAGGGTCTACACATTGAGGTTTTCTTTCTTGAGGTTCCACATGAAACAACGCTGATGAGGGGTCTTAAAATATTCTTGACTCCAACAGCAGCATATAGGCTTTGGGTGATGTTTTGAGGTAAATTATCAATAAGAAGTGAGATCTTTGTTGGGTCAGGAACAGTTGTCAGAGAAGATTTGATAATAAAATGGTCAGGAGTTACAGCTGTCAGTTTCGAAGTTTTTGAGTTTGCTATTGCTTCTTTTTGTTCTTGGTTGGAGTGATTTCTGTTATCAGCCATAGGCTTAGTAGGCTTCAAAAAATGAAGGAGTGTGTGATGAAGTTTCAAACAGGTCTTACAAGTATTAGTAGACTTGCAGCGTTTAGCAAAGTGATTACCAAGGCAATTTGTGCAGCGTTTTAAGTCGCGTACAACTTTAAGCCTTTCTTGAGGGGTTTTACTATTAAAGACAGGGCAACTGTATATTTTGTGATTTTTATGGCAGCAAAAACATTTCAAATCATTTGAAGTACATATCAAGGCCATAGGAGGATGTTGAAACTGAATTGATTCATCAATTTGACGTGGAACTTGGTGAGGGTTGGATATTTGGAGAGGAGCTGCTTGCTGACTGTGACATAGAGATGCATCTTCACTGTTGTTACAAAAGTCTTTAAGACATTTGATTATTTCACTTGCTTGAGGAAAATCAGAAGAATTTATGCGTTTTGATTCAAAAACTTGACAGAGGTTGGAATTCATTTTTCGTAAGATCAACATACTTAGTAGGTAGTTGTCTTCCATGACATTATAGTCAAGAACACTAAGAGCTTGTTCATTTTCATTAAACTCATTTAAAAATGATCTGAGGTTTTTGATAGATTTTTCAGTAATATTGGGCAAATCGAAAATTTTACTGAGGTGGACAGAGATTAGCCTACGCTTCGAGTGGTATCTTTCCCGTAAAGCATTATAGGCTACTGTATAGTTGCCAGATGAGATCGGTAAAGATTTGATTAAGTGTAAGGCTTCGCCTTCAAGTGAACTTATCAAGTACTGGTGTTTTTCAACAAGGGATAAGCTACTATTGTTGTGGATAGTAGTATCAAAAAGGTTAATAAAGGAAATCCATGTCTTAGTGTCACCATTGAAGGACTTCAGTTCTAGCTTAGGCAATTTTACAATGCTATGAGTAGGCCTAGAGGTTGGGTTTGATGTTGCCGAGATATTTGACAAGTGTTCATCATTAAAGTTCTGAATTAGAAGAGAAATTTCGGTTTGAATGTTAATTGAGAGTTCTGATATGTCGTTCTGGAACTTTAAAATAGCTTCTTCACTGTCAGAAAAAACGTTAGTATCGTCATCAACATCAAGAAGCTTATCAAGGTTAGTTTCAAAATTGGCAGAAATTGTTTTAGCTTCGTGTAAATAAAGGTTAAGTTTAGCGGTTTGAGCTTCTGTTATTTCTGATTGACACGATTGAATATACTCACTGATCGTATTTAATTTATTTAATTGCAATTTGCATCTATTAGAAAATGTGGAAAATCTCATTTTGAAAGTTAGGCCTAGATCGTTCAATGAGAATTTGAGGATAAGGACGACTGAGGAATAAAATCAGGGTTTCTTTATTATTTCAGTGTTGATATTGATAACTTACGATGAGATGCGGTGCGTTGTCTTCATTGGGACTGTATCGTGACGTAGACGAAAAAGTTCAAAATGGCGATGCGGTATTGTCATTGGCGGCTTCACGTTGGATGAAATACGTTCAACCGAGACATTGAAAATAAACTTGAAAAAAGTTGCACTAATGTTCGTAGATATAATCCGCGGCTCAATAGGACCACAAATGTGCGGTGTATTTATATTAGAGAGGAATAAGTTGAGGGTTTTGGTAAAAAAAAGTATAATTTATTACAAGAAAAATGAATGCGTGATGTTATGAGCGGTGATTCGAGACAAATGAATGCAACAATGAAAATTGACATATGGTAATGTGATGGGAATTACAGATGGACTGTTAAAAACAAAGACATATAAAATTAATACCAAAAACAAAGGCAACTTGACTAAACAATGAACATATTTTGATCAAATTTGGGAAAGGTTTTTATTTCTTACTAACTATTAACATAAAAAAAAAAACAGTTTTACCCTCCCTGATTCAGCAAACCTAAGTACTTGTTAAACTAATTCTATTTAAATAGGGAATAAATGTTAAATTTTTTAGTAAACATCTATATATAT